GGGGGGGAGGATGACAGGCGGTACTGAACAGAGTTTTCTACAGTAAAACAGCTGCTACCTGAGTTCCTGAGGGACAAAGACCTCTCGCCCCCTCGATCCGCCAATGACTGGAAAAAAATATATTCCACATACCAGAAACCGCCAACACCGCCTGGCATTGCACCGATTGCTACGTCGGTCCAATACTGCACCATGTGATCATTTATCGCTTTCAGCAAATTCATGTATTCACGTTTGTTTTCGAATGATTGCTTGTTATGGGTTGGTTCAAGTACCGAATATGGAACATCAACGACCGCTACCACTCCGAGGTATTTCCTAAAATCATCAATATTTTTCGGAAATCATTATTTTACTAAATTATTTTACAATTAAGAAATCTACCAGCAATTTTTACTAAAAAAAAGCAATTTACTGAAGAAATCTACAAATTTACCAAAAGAAATCAATTAAAGATATTAATATATAAGATATCAGTAAAATAATTGAAAAATTAAGAAATTAACATATTAATAATATAATCAGTAAAATAGTATACATGGTTAATAAAAAATTAATATAATAAAATTAAGAAATTTAAAATATTAATAAAGAAATTAATAAAATTAATATAATTAATACACAAGATATTAATATATACTTAAGATATTAATGTATAACTTAAGATATTAATATATATATAATACTTAAGATATTAATATATATATAATATACAACTAATAAAATTAAGAAATTTTACTAAATTACAAAACTTTCACATATTTAACAAATATGAGGAAGTTTTTTTTTTTTTTTGCATAAAAATACACTTTGACATTTGAATCAACTGCAGTGCATAACGTAAATGGCAATCTCGGCGATTCTGTCGATTATTTCATGCCCCGAAGAATTAATATTTGGCAAGGATTTAGCCGTTTCGAGATGTACTTGATGTGTTGAGCATCAACTTACCTCGAACTCCGGCAGTCTTTCGCAGAATAGTAAAATTAAGAAAGGGATCTTTTGTCAAAGCTAATCAAAAAAGGCCAGTTGGAAGTACTTCCAATCTCAAAAACCTATTCATGTGAAATAGTAGAATGAAGGGATTGGACTTAAGTGTCATGTGTAAGAAGACAATTTACAACGCAGCAGTCTGTCTGTGTTTCATCCCTTAGCTGTAAACACTGACCGAACTTCAGAGTTATAAAAAAACCCTACATCATGCTATCGTTTTTTTCCTTTTGCACCGTCACTTTTTCATACATTCGAATCAAACGTCCATTATTATAGACCATGCAACCATATCGATCACGATGATGGATATTCAGACCAAAGTAGAAATCCAGCGGATTTGGATCGAGTCGCGATCTGAACAAAATTCCTAAATTATAACAAACTAGTAACGATGCGTAATTTCAATTGATAAATGGAATTACAAAGCAACTTTGACAATTCCACAAAAATTATAAGCCGACTGTAGCGTCCAGGTTGATCTTGAGTGTAAAAATGAGGAAGGTATAAGGTAGAAAACAGAAGAAAATGGAAGGAAAAAAGTGGGAGGAAGAAAGAATGCGGTAAGACGTTTCGGTCCATTTGCTGACGCACAATTCATCTCAATCAGATGTAGTAATTATAAAACAATACTTATTTTCTAGCCTATGAAAGTCCTCAACATATTAAGGTACGGGGAAATTTGCATATAAAATTAAGGTACGAAAAACAGTCTACGAAAGTCCCCAATATATTAAGATATGGGGAAATTTACATAAAAAACTGAGGTACGGAAAAGTCTATGAAAGTCCTCAACATATTAAGATACGTGGAAATTTACAGGGGAAATTGAGGTACGGAAAATAGTTTATGAAAACCACCAACATATTAAGGTACGGGGAAATCTGCAGATAAAATTGAGGTACGGAAAATAGTCTATGAAAGTACCCAACATATTAAGAGACGGGGGAAATTTACAAAAAAAACTGAAGTACGGAAAACTTTCAGTCTCCACCAGCTATCCTCTGGCTCTACCAATAACGGAAAAGGAAAGAAAAAACATGAAAAAGAAAAAAAAGAAAAAAAACACAGAACGAGAAAGAAAATAAACGCGTGGGACGAAAAAAAACAAAACGCCGCACGAAACGTCTGCGAGTAGTAAGCATTAAAAATCCTTGTTTTTTTAAAAAATTTCTCAAAAAATTTGTGAATTTTGTATTATCATTTATTTTACTGAACGAAAAGAAAATA